GATCAAATAGCATAGAAAAATAGAACATTCTTTTCTCTATCAGACTATATAAAAAGAAAGTTTCTTTAACCTTTCTATAAGGGATAAAAATACCACTGCCACTACTTTTGGTATGCCCTAAGTATTTGAGTAAATATTTGGGTGCTGTTCCTCCTTTCGCACGAATACACGATTGTAGACGTCGTGGCATACTTTCCACTAATTTATTACACGTTTCAGGCTTGATTTCGGACCACAATTTTTTATGATAGTCTCGAGCTCGTGTGCTGTGCTGGGACGGTGATGAGTTAATTTTTTATCGATATAATCCCATAAATTTTCTATTGGATTGAGGTCGGGGGAAGTTGCTGGCCATCCCATAAACTTAAATTTCTTTTTTTGAAACGATTATTTACTAAATTTGCACGTGTGGCACGGGGGCATTATCTTGCATGAAGTACCATTTTTGGCCAGGTTTAAATCGTTTTTTGATAAACGATGGCAAACTTAGATTCAACATTTCGATATACTTTTTTCCATTCACTCGCCCCTTGTATACGACCAATGAACCGATACCTTCAGCCGTCATACACCCCCATACAGAGACGCAGCCCCCTCCTCCTTGTACACGAGCACGAAAGTTGAACGGTTTATCTTGCTCAGATCGAAGATAACGAACAAATGATCGATTTTTTCGATTCAATACCTCAAAATGAGATTCATCAGAGAATACCACATATTTCCAATCATTATCGGACCAGTATTGTTGTTCACGAGCAAATTTTAAACGTACGTGACTGTGACGTGCTTTTCGAAACGGCTTTCGTTTCGTAACGTAGCTCCTGTAACCCGCCTCAACCAACCGATTTCGTACCGTACGCGAAGTAACGACCTTCCCATTCGACAGAATCCACTCAGAAGCCAATTCCCGACTAGTTTTATGACGGCCTTCTTGATATAAAGTGAGTAATCAACGGTCTTCTCTTTTGGTTGTAGCACGGTTACGACCTTGACCCGGACGGTTAACTACTCCAATCTTCTGTTTTTGGTTCATAGAAACATTTTGAACACAATGTCTCGATACACCAACCTGTTTAGCAACATATCTTTTGGAAAATCCAGCACGTAATAGTGCGCAAACATTGGCTTTTTGAGTTAAAGTAACTATTTTACGACCCATTTTACATACGTGTAGGTGGAGAAAAGAAGGAATGTCGAACGCTGTTCTAAGTTAATTTCATTTATCATATGGGAAGAAAACATGCACATGTAGACGAAAGAAAGCAATCATATGCTTCTGAGACATAAAATCACGTAGAAATGAAAAAATTGGGCTAAATAGGCTAATGTGGTTCTATAATTTTTTCCAAAAAAAAAACAGGCATCTTTTTGTAAAAAATCTTTTGTAAGAGAAACAAAGATTTCTATATTTTTTTCAATAACATATTTGAGAAGAGCAGACTTAAATGCATATACTCGTGTGTTTTAATCTATCTCAGATCGTTAATTAACAAAATAAATAAAAGTTAAAGAGTAAGCTCGAACCCGACTCGATAATTTTTTCCAGTACTGTAGTACAAATTCGTCTACAAGGATTATATATTCCTCCAACGCCAGTTGTCAAATCTGTCATATTATCGCCATCATCCCGACGTTGTTTAGTATCAATTGAAAATAATCAAAACAGTCCAAAAACATCAAAACATAGACCATTTTGTATTGTCAGATAATTTAATTATCGTCACATTATAATCATTTAGAAGAAGAAAAATAGATAATTTGACATTGTTTTTCTTTTTATGCATTGCCACATATTTTATTCTACCTATCCTCAAGGATTTTTTATCGTTATTTTTAAACTATATCTCACACAAGGAAGATCCTCAAAGGACAAATCGCACAGTTGACACGCTTCGTTACCACTCGTCGCTGCATCCTACCCTTACCTATGATAAACATGCTGGATATAAAATCGAATTGTTTATCCCACTGTCAGACCATGTACGATAGTCGAAAAAATTTACTTACATATGTAAACCGACGTGCTCTACAAACTGATAAAGTTAAAATCTGATTAAAAAATAAAAATGTTTTGTTTTAGGAGACCTGGTTTTCAAGAAACCTGTCTCCAAAGATCTACGAGTAGATCTCATTGTCATATAGACGTTTCCTCGTCAATTACAATTTTGGAAAGAAGAGAAAAAATATCCCATTTTACAATACCGTTCACGGCGTAGAGTACTGACAGTGTCAGTTTCCGTAGTCTGATATCCTGCGCACAGTTGACACGCTTCTGACATGGTTACCCATATCGTTACTACTGGTCGCTGCATCTCTGATCAGAACGCTAACCGGACGCGCTCAACTGCTACATGCAGCTTTTCCATGAAGACTAACCGGGGCAACTGTGTCGACATCACAATGCAGTGTTTATGCTGTCGAACGGATGATCCGATGCGAAGAACATGTCAAGGATTCCTATACGGCTTGACGATGCTTGTGTTCGAACACAATAACGTTGAAGTACGCGAGGAAGAACACAATCACTATGCTATACTATTCAGTTGTAAAACTTACTTACAAATATGTCATCATCCGTATAATCATTTAATATTAGACTAATTTTATGATTTTCTTTGAAATTGATCGGATTATATCGAAGTTTTTTTGCCATGTGATAACATGAAATAGCAATTAATCCAACAGATTTAATTAAACTTGATTCATTTTGAGTTAAAGACGAACAATAACGATCAGATAAATCCATTGTTAATGGAAATACATCATTTGATATTGAATCTTGTTCACAGATCTAAAAACGAAATATATTAACGTTTTATACCACTAGTAGTAACACCACTCCACGGCCAATCAAGAAGGATGGTTGTCGATCTTCTGTACATGTAAAATCAATATTAATCGTCCATCAAACATTAGTAGAGCCGTTTTAATAGTTCTTTTCTCCGTTTCAATTCAATTATAAAAAATTGCAAGTTAAATAAATCAATTTTGATTGTTTTAATGAAAATCTTTTTTGTTGCTATTACATCAAAATATCAAATTTAACAGATTTTCCCTTTTGATCATTGATTCATGTACAAACAGTAGATGATTAACACCGTCTATCATTTTTCAAGTAATTTGAATTTGAAAAATATTGAGCTTTCTACCATACAATGTAACTGACCACTACCTCACACTGGCTATTTTTCCAGAGAGCAGGCCGACATCGGGTTTTATAGGATAAAAATTGATTATTTTCGCATAGCATTGTCGTACTATGTGGCAGATTTTAATAGAAATAAAAAAAAGTCAAATTCAAAAAACAAATCTTCGGATGCCAAATCCTTGAGACGGTCCGGTCCCTTGCTCTTAATTTTTATCCAATAATTTTTTATTTATAGAACTAGTAAGTGATATATCATTCGATGCAATTTTTTATGCTGATTCCGAATCTCACATTCAACTAGTTTTTTTCTGTTTGAAATCTAATAATACCGTTCTATAATCATTTAATCTATTAACCGAAAATCTAAGATAAATAGTTTTCAGTACAGTGTTGAAAATGATAGTTTTGCGTTAATTTGAAGGGAATTGGGAGGAAATTATATGAATGTTTCTGATCAATGTGTTCAATTAAGCGCTCAGTTCGCATTAAAAGTGAAGAACGCGCAATTTTGTCGACACAGATTCAATTTTTTTTTCTTAATCAGAACATAGAAGACTGGTATTCAGATCAGAGCTCGAAACGAATCGAAACGAATGAATAATTCGGTATTCGGCTCGGGCTTTTGAATCGAATCGAATCGAAGCGAATTTGATATCCGAAAGGTAAATACGTTCAGGACTGTCATCGAGTTTTCTCGATATGAGCGATTGTGTCAAAATTATCACTCTCCTGTCACTTGGGAGATCTTATATCATAAACACTAGTAGTGTGGATAGCAGTGAAAAGTCCAAAATGATTTGGGTGGCCGATAACAGAAAATCTTTTCCAGTTCTGGAAAACAAAGTAGCGGTAGTTTGCTAAGCCGTGTTTTGTGATATTTCCAGGTACACACTATCGAAATATGATAAGAAAAGACGTAGGTGTTTACCTTTTCTTTGAGTCAATTTTTTTCACAAAAACGTTACCGTTTTTATCAGAATCACTCAAATACACATGTCTTCACTGAGAAAGAAAAATGCATTTTTTCTCTTCTCACGTTTTGTCGAACGTATCACATATAGGTCGATACTTGTTGTATAAAAGAACCTCTCTTTTATATAGGTATGCACCGATTATTTGATGGGGGCTCTTCGAGGCCAGCGGTTTTAAAAATCGAAAAAACCTTTCAAAATTTTTTCGAATCGGCAGTTTTGTACACAAATGTTTGCTCTACAACTAGGATGTTCCAGACTTCCTTACAATCGTTTGTGGATGAGATATGAATTGTTTTCTCCAAAATATAACCAGTTATAAGCGGCCGGTTAACAGAGGGTCTGTCTTTCGAATAAAAAATTCCATATCTCATCCACAAACTATCGTAAGAAAGTCTGCAACATCTTAGTTTGTATAGCAAACATTTGTGCACAGAACTGTGGATTCGACAAAATTTTGAAGGATTTCTCCAATTTTTAAAACCGCTGGCCTCGGAGCAGAGTTGGAACCGTTTGAAAAAAACGCAGTCGGATCGGCCGGTTGGAAAACTACGTCGGATCGAATCCAAAAAATCGGAAAAAGTTTTTCTAAATCGGTAAAAAATCTAAAAAAGTTTGATTATTTTCTAATGATATTTGTTTTTCAGTGGTCTATGCCACTAAAACACACAGTGTTTCCTTGTAACCATCTTTCAAGAGATGGAAATATGGGCACTTGTTGACACCAAGCTTCGAAATGTGTGAAAACTTCCAAGTCGACATCGAAAAGCTTGGTGTGAGTCCGATGAGCTTCTTTGTTTACAACTTTTACTTATTCTGGCAATATGCAGTGCAAGAAAACAGATCAATTTGAAGAGAAGAAACAACTTTGTAGAAAACATAATGAAAAAATGTATATGAGTCAGGCAACTATATCAGCAAACAAGAGAGAACTCCTTACACTTTATTTTGATTCAGGCCTATCATTCAGATACGCTTCTTTTAACACCACCAAAGATTCAACACAATCTGAATCCAAAAGACTGCGTTGCTCTGTAACAACTTGTCCGGTTGTTGAAAAATGCCGCTCACTCTCTGCTGATGAAGCTTGGATTACAAACACAGATTTTGCCTAGAAAATATAATAATCACAGATATAGTCGAGACACTATTTGTAATGCTATAAGGTATAAAGAAAACTGATTAAAGTGATGAAAACATAACGTAACAAATGAATGACTCACTATTTTAGCTGAAATTGTTAAACTTTGTTGTTGTTGATACCAAAACGAAAGTGGATTATTATCGTAATCAGTGACAGCCATTGATTCATACATTTGTATTTGTCTTTCCAATTCCACTTTCATTGTTCGATTCGATGCTGCTTTCGTTGATGAATTTGCTTATTGATTACGAAATGCTGCAAATGGATCAGTTTTTTGGCCGGTGATGCTTGACAGGTTGTTGTGAATATTGTCATCGTCGAAGGATTATTATCGGGAAAATCATTGGCCAATATATGTAAATTCTTTTTTATTTCAGCTTTCTGTTTATCAATATATTTTTTATCATTCCCAAATGGTAATTGCTTCAATGTTAGTTCCAAATATGTTGCCATCCAGTGCCACTGTGTTAAACTACTCCAAAATTTGTCGTCCAAACATTTTACCATTTCTGTTTTAAGGATATTCATTACTGAATTCGGTGGTTCATCATCATCTGTACCACAATACTGGATCATCTGGTAATAGGACGGGACTACTGAAAAATGCAGAAATTATATTGTAAGAAAAGCGCATCCCGTTTTGTTTAAACGAGAGATAATGAGGCAGATTATAGCGAACACGAAATTCAATAAAATGAACACCTGCCATTTTGAATGGATGGAATTTTTGAAAATTCAAGATTATAAAATATTGGTACAAATTTTTCCGTAAATTCTACAACGTTTGCCAAGAGCACAGGATCAAATGAAAATATTCGATGAGATTCACCGCGTAAACGTAAAATTTTTGTTAATTCTTCATAGGAATCGTTTAACGAATCTTGAATGGTATAATAGGATCGCCATGGTCTTGTACCACTAGTACGGTTCATTGTTTTCGGTAATTTATGTTGAATTCCTGTTGTTTGTTGAACGTACTTGCGTTAATCACGAATAGCTAGAATAAAAAAAAAGTACTTGACATAGAATGATACTTATCAGATAGAGTAAGACGTTAGTTGACGAATGATAAGTAGATGACAGGAAGTAAAGAACATTATGGTTTACTATGGAAGAATCACTTACCCATACAAAAGCTATCAAATTCTTGTTTTTGTTTAACCGTATTATCCCAGGCCGTTTCAAGAACTGTGCTACACCGGTGAGCCATGCATGGATAACGGGCTTCATCATTTATTCGACAGGCAGCAATCATAATGGATCCTTGATCAGTAGTAATTGGTGTGTCACCGTATGATAAATTGAAACTTGAAAATACATCTTTTATTTCTTGCCAAATATTGATAGCTCTTTAGAATCTTGATCGAAATGTTTACATCGTAAACGAGTATGTTTCAATTCATACGCATTATTAACATAAAACACAGTGAAATCCAAATACGATCTTTTAACATAATCATCACTCCATAGGTCGCACGTGGCTAGAAAATATATACGAAAACTATATCACAGAAGAGCACACCATTTTCTTTTCAACTAGGAAATCAAACGATCGATCAAAGTGAGTCAAAAACCAAAGAAAAATGATTATTGTGAAATCGACAACTCACCTGATACAGCATGTTCTTTTATCGGATCTTGCAATAATTCTCGCGTTGTTCTGAGAAATAATTCGAATTTTAGTAATGCTTCTTCATGAATTGTTTTACGATCATAGAAAATATCTCTGACATCAACCAGACCATATACACGACCAATGTCTGTACCAACCTGAAACAGACTCAAAAGCTCATACTTTTCAAGTGAATCGAAGGAATGTGAACCCGCGACTACGAATTTCAGTTCAGCATCTTTTAATTTCTGTTTATATTTCTCCGATATTACACCTTTATTGTATGCAAAGGACGCCGCTGTTACGAAAAGTTGCTCCGCTTGGTCTCACATTTTAGAATTTTGTGGAGTAATGAAAGACAAATTTTCTATATTGTCGAGAAAACTTTCAAACTCCTTCACAAAAACGTGTGATGAAACCTTTCTTATCATTTCCTAACATTCAAAGTTATGATTGTTTAAACTTCTTCTAGAAATGTTATCTAAGGCTCGCTCATATATCACCGTGTGCAGTTTTCGACGCTCTTTCCGAATCACTATAGGATGGTTAGGCCAACTTCACTCTTGACGGAACGGCAGCTAACTTTTTCGAAGTGGTCGAATTTTAACCAAAAACCTATATCAAATAATTTGGATGGTGTTCGCTAGGGTTAACGTGTTTCAATAAGATCGTTTCCAAAAAACATCCTCACACCTCGAGCAACAAAATAGGCTTTTAACGAAATCGAAATTCCCACGACTTTAAGCAACAGAGTTACTTTAATGAAAAAAGTATGTATTTTTCGAATTTTTCAAAAAAAGGTTTTTTTCATCTTTTTTCACTTGATTTCATTTCAAACTTGTTCAAAACACGTTTTTAAGGTTAAACAAAGAGATTTACGTGGTTGCCAAGTACTTCTTTGTACAGATATACTACTTTTTACGAAGTGGACAATCACTAGGACAAAGGTTAAACACTAATGAACTCAACCTTTTATTTTCAGCAAATAACTTTATTTAATTAAAAAAATGCTATATTTTACAAGTGAAACTAAAAAAATGAGAGAATTTCTTTTGCATTGCCGTACATATTTGTTAGGCAGGATCAGTCAATTTCCATATTCACTGATGTCTGTCGATAGCGTTCTGTATATTTCGAGGGAGTAAATTGCTGGTATCTTGTGTAGCCGAGAAACCATAGTACACACGCTACGTGTGCACAACAACCGCAGCTCCTTTCGCCTGCCGGACTTGATTGGTAGTTTTTCAAAAAGTTTTTCAACCAATGTCTCATCGTCATCGGACGTATCGTCGCTTTCTGAAGCATGGCCTGCATTGTCATTTAGTTTATATTCAATCCAGCAATAATACTGAGTCGAATTTGAATGACGGAAATCAATTTTGCATCTAAGAATTGTTTCACTGTGTTTTGTGACTTCTAGTTCATAGTCCCCGTCATTTTTGTTAAGATGTCCTTCCGAATAAGTTTTAGCTTGCTTGATTTGGTATGTACCAAAGCACAAATCTCTAAGCTGTTCCTCTGACATTTTTGGAAAATCTATTTGTGTATCTTCCAGCTTGTCCCATTTACAGCGAGAATTGAATGGTTTTTCTAGAACTTGTTTCTTAAGTTCATTTTCCGATTCTGCTCTTATATTCATGCTTTTTGCTAAGCGTTTTTCTTTCAGTAGATCATTTGGAGAAAACAGCGGAGGTCTAAAACAATTGATTACTGCGGTTGCAATCTTGACACACGGTGCAATTTTTTCAAATAATAAATTTGGAATAGTTTGGTAGAAAAACAAAAAGTTTTTCAAGCGACCATGATACATTTCAATTCCACATCTGACTTTCGGGATCAAACGGGCCTGATTTGCTTCTTCCGATGAATGCTGTTTTGATTTCAAAAAAGGCGGCATTTTAACCAGCAAACCTAAATTTTCGAAAATCTGTCTTACGTGATGCTCTGTTACGCGATTTACTTTAGCAGAAAAACCGTATTATAAAAAGAAAATGATTCATCTTTTTATTTATTGCTTTTCTCATTGCTTTACCGTTTTTTTACATGTTTTTTGTTTGGAGTATAAATATGTGTATAGTAGTAGTTTTTCGGGATTTACGAGACTTGGCAAATTGATATAAACTTAGATGAAACCGAGAGCATGATGTTTACAAGAAGGTTAGCATGTTTAAAAAATTAAAATTTTCCGCTTCTCGGTCGAAATCAGGTCATACCAGAGACAATGTTATAGAAAGTAAAATATAAATTTGGCTTAACAGACATTGCTAGTATTGTCACTGACGTTGTAAAATGGAATCAGATTAAAGTTGAAGTGAATAAATTAAAATTAGAAAGAATTACTTAGAAAGAAATCGCTATTAAATGGGGGAGTTATTCAAACATTTGACTATAGGTGAGTCTAACGAGATATCAAGATCTGTCGATTGCGAATCTTTCTTCCGAGCTTCAACATTCGAGCGAACCTGTTGAAATGTTACTACTGTAAATATATCAATCATTAATGGAACAAGAATGGCAGAAATTAACTTTAACAATTAAGCGTCCAATATCTCAAGAACGAATTGACTATTGGGATTCGGTCACATCTCATATGAAAGGAAAATGTTTGCTTGATTTCAAATACTTCGAACTGAAATTACTGTCTTGTTAAATCTGATCTTTATTCCACAAACCGTCAAAAACGTTTCATCATGTTTAAAAATATCATCATTGAGTGTTCTTAACAATTTGTCCAATATGAATGACGCAAAAGCCGCATTTATTTATTTAAACATGTTTCGTTCAATTATACTAGCCTATATTGACAAAATAACGGTGGTGAGAGATCGATTTTGTCATTCATGGCTGACTGGCATTGTGATGATTGTGGATAGACCAAGTGGTACCAAGTGAAACGAGATCAAAGCAAAAAGATAAATATTTTATAATAGAATTAGCATATTAACTATACATTGACGCTTCATCGGAAAAACAGAAAGGTTGCAGCATAAGTTATGTATTATCTATGATATAAATAATAGTTTAGAGAAAACGATTATTTTCTTGATTTATTGATTACAATACAAAGTTACTATGTTCCTCTGCTATTTCTTGTTTTGATAAGCACAACATTAACATGAAACACGGGATGTTTCGTCCAATATTCATCTTGCAACAAGTTCTTTCTCCATTGTTTCATTTTTGTCGTCTGAATTGCTTTTAGTCTCAAATAAAACCTTTCAAGGTGCGGTATATTCGTTGAAATCAATTGTTTCCATGTATTAGTATCAAAATATTTCTTCCATAACGGTCGACAACCACCAGTGAATGAAAAATAACGAAGATTTGGCATTGATTTTAATATTTTTTCAAGATATTCAAATCTCAAATAGCGACAGTTGATCTTGAAATTTATTAAATTGGGCAGTTGATCGATATTAAACTCGACATTTCTTTTGTAACAATCGATGTATCTGATATCTAGTGAGAGGAGTTGAGGAAAAGCGGACGATATGAGAACAGCGAAAGTTTGCAAACGACATTTGCTTAGTATGAGACGCTCAATTTTGGTCACCGTCGAAAGCGTGATCATTTTTGTTAATGTTGAATGAGATGTATCCAAGTTAGTCACTTTGGTCAAGAGTGATCGTAATCGATAGAGAGGAAAATCGATGGAAATATGTGATGTGTCACAATAAAGTCGAAGATGTTTGTCAGAAAGGATGCAATCAAAACGTTTGTTTAAATTCCCGAAACTCTTGTGGAGATGATAGACGTCAAGCTCTTCAAATATCAACATTAAAAGATCAGTCGACAAACTTTCAAGAGTAGTCATAATCTAAAGTATGATAGTGAGTTTCTGTTCTGCATGAAATCTATTGACTTCAGCTCAGAGATCATATACGCGGTTCGCCCATCAGTCTGATCATATTTCGTAAAAAAAGCGTTTGTGCATCATGGGTAGGTTACTTCATGAATCGAAAAAACAGTGGAGAGACTTACAAATGAGCATTAAATAATATTACAGAAATATTATTAGCTATGATTTGTATAAGGACTCAAAAGTACTGTATGATGTTACTGCTGCGTATTGCTAATTGGCCAGTTAAAAATGCTAACTGAAAGCTTGGAATGCGTAAATATATAAAAGTACTGCCTGCAATGCTTTTAAGTTCTAACATTCTCAACTTCAGTTTTGATAAATGATCTTACCTGTTACCTTTTTCTTCCAACATTGTTAGAACTGTTTTAAACATTGGCTAGTTACAATTCGCCTCAAAACAAGTGGATTAATATGTTTAGAAAGCATGAATGCAGTGTAGAAAAGGAACTGCTTTATAGGTAATAGTAATGGATTGACAATGGTATAAATTATAAGAAAATCTTTAATTAAGGAAAAGCGAAACTGATCTTTTTTCAACTAAAAACCTTCTGGCAAAAACACTTAAAGTTAGAGATTTCCACCCAGTAGGTGATGCGCAGTTGAAGCATGTCATGATGTTCAACCATTGCTGTTATATTTTAAACAATATTAAGTGCACAATTTTGGGCATGATATGAAATATCAGTACAGATTATAAAATACACCTTAAATTCGTAAGAGATCAACAACCGACAAA